GATGACGAGGGCATCCCTGTGTGGGGAGGACACTGGGGGGAGATCAGCGTTAGTGAAGGTGATGGGTTCCTCCCTCAGCCGCTTTACTGGGGGCATATGAGTGACTTCCCCCACGTAAAGTGATTGAGCCCACTTCTTTCGTTGACTTGTAGAGTCACCCCCGGTATTGCCCCCGGTGATCATGAGGATGTGGCGCTTCTTTTCTTGGTACCGAGGGTACTCTTCCTCCTCTTCTTCCAGGTTCCCAATCTCCCTCTTCTTGCCAAGGGGGATGGTGTTGGGGTTTACCCATGCGTTTGCTCTCGCAGGGTGCCCTCGAGGTGGCCCTTGGTGAGGGGGGCCCTGTTGCTGAGGGCCCTGGACAAACTGGGACAGATGACCCGCCTGTATCAACCTTTCAATGGTCGTCTTCAGCTAATGGCAGTCATCGGTTCTGTGCCCCTGATGTCGGTGAAAGCGACAGTAGGGGTAGTTCGGATTGATGGCATACACTTCCGGGGGAGCACGTGAATCTCGCTCCACCAGGCCCCTCTCCTCAGCGAAGTCGAGGATGACGCTGACGGGGTGCGTCAGAGGTGTCCGAGGGTGCCCCAGGAGAACAGGCTGTGCCCAAGCCCTCAGGTTCCCCTTGTAACCTCCCCCGGGCTTGGCTTGGCCGTGCCGGGGGCGATCACCGGAGGGGGCCGAATCCTTGGGTTGATTACAGGGAGCCCCCGGCCCCCTGTTTGCCTTTGTCGTCTGGCCGAGGGCGTGGCTGATCGGGGTTGTGATGGCTTTTCTCCACCTCCTCGGCTTCGGCATACCTGTCCCCCCGCTGTAGGGCCCTTATATAATCGCGGGAGGGGGGATTTGATGATGAGGCTCCTTGAGAAGTTCCCGGGGCGGAGTACTGTTTGGAGGAGGGCCAGGAGGGTCCCTTCGTCAGCGCCATCAACTTTATCAGCCTCCGTTCTCCAGCGCTTCAAGAAGTCCCGAAGGGTCTCCTCCTTCCTCTGCCTCACTGTTAGCAAGTGGGAGAAGTGTTTTCTTGTGCGGCGCCTTCCCGCAAATTGCGTCAAGAATCGCTGGGCGAGTTCTTGCCATGAGTCAATGCAGCCCTCGGGCAATCGATTGAACCATTCGTAGGCCGCCCCATCTAAGGTGGAGAGGAACTAGTGGCACAAATACTCATCCGATGCCCACACCATCATCATGCTGTTTTGGTATCTGCTGTAGTGCTCCTGGGGTCAGTTTTTCCGTCGTAGGGGGGTGATGAGCTGCCCTCGGTATTTTTCCGGGATCCGGGCCGCCAATACCCTTAGGGTAAATGGTGTCCGGGTCCGGAGTTGTATGGTGGGTTCCCCGGAGCCCTCGGTTATCTTCTTCCGCATTTCCTCCATCTTGGCCAACATGGCCTCATACTTCAGGTCTGTATGAGGGGCAGAAGTGGTGGCGTGCGCTTTGGTGGCCTCCATCTCGTCAAGCCGACGCTGAAGGGCCGCAATGATTTCGTCCCGGGGGTCCTTCGGGAGGGCCTCCGCCCCCTTCGAATGGACACGGGCCGAGTGGGCCTGGTTGATTTGGTGGCGGGCGTCGTTGGCATGGAGAGGTGCCTTGCCTTTGTCCTGAGGGGGACATCTTTCGTTGACATACACACATACATACATACACACATACACACATACACACATACACACATACACACTTTCCTGAGGCCTCTGGAACGCCTTCCCCCCGAGGCGGTCTTGGACCCCTCGGCGGTCTTGCGCCCCTCCGAGTCTCTCGAGGGCGGAGGTCCGGAGTTGTTCTTTGTTCACGTTGTGGCGGTCCCGGGATTGGACTTCCTGGGAGGCCGTATCTTGGGCCACGACCCCCTCGACGTTCCCAATCCGGAGGACCGGGTTCCCAAGGGGGTGAGGGGGAGGCATGATATTTTCCCCGACCTGAGGTTAGAGGGGAACCAGAGTGCCGAAGGCACCCAGATTCTGGGTGAGCGTCTGGATGAAGGCGGAAAATGCCGATTGTACGTCGATTGTGATGACCGGAGGGCTAACTTGATTCTCGCTCTGGTCCTTCTTCTTGGCCTCGATGCCGAGGCGGGCATCGGGGGCATTCTGTTGAATCTGATGGCGTAGGTCGACAGCCGTCTGGTCCAACCCGATGATGACACCGCCCCCGGGAGCCCTGTTAGAGGCTTCGGGGACTTCGACTTCGCCGAGGGCCAGGTTCCTGTCCTCAACGTTCTTGGAGTTGGCACGAGTTGTTCTCACCATTTTAGCTAGGTGTTTTGTGTTTGGCGAGGGGGAGGGTTTCTTACTTGATTATTCGACCTCTTAACGAGAGCACCAAATGATGGATAGTGTACCCGGGGGTAGCTTATCCAAGGGGTTATTGCGGGGAATAACTAGAGAGAAGTCAGAGCAAATAAGTTAGAGAGAGAGTGTATATTCGATATGTATTCAGCGTATTTTTGCTTGGGTTTCAAATGGGGAAATGGGGTGCTATTTATAGTAGCAATAAATGCCAGATAGGGACATGTGTCAAGCATCCATTGGCCGAGGGGTCACATCAACTGGTTGGCGCTGGCAATCGCATGTGGCCGCATTTAATGCGGCTGTGGGATGTGACGTCGTACTTGGTACGGTGATTCAGGCGCATGTGGAGTGGATATTATGTCGAGAAAGGTGCCCTTGGCTGTAGGTGATTAGCCGAGGGCTCTGAGTACCGGGGACCTCCTTAGTGCCGAGGACTCTAGGTGCCGAGGGCTCTAGGTGACGAGGGCTACTGATTTTTGCTGTTTCCTCCCAGTAACTTTGTTTGCTTGAGCTGGCCGTCCTGTGAGAATTGGAGCCTTCGGCCAGGGGGCCGAAGGCGTTCCCAGCGTACCACGTGGGTTGTTTAGCACTTGGGGCGCTGTGTTTTGGGCCTGCTGTGCTCCCTGGGCCTATTGGGTCTCCGTCAGAATTGCAGAAGTCTATGGGCCGGGGGTTCCTGGCCCATATACTCCATCAGGTTTCACTACAGGTTTTTTTATCTAACAATTATATGACACCAATATTGCATATCTAAAGTTAAAAAAAATGAAACTTCAACTGATGGAGGTCTTTAGGTTAAAAATTTTCTTAAGTAGATTCAATTGCTAAAATTTAGATCTCATAGCCAAAAATCTTTTTTATGTCTTTCAGTTTTTTTTCTCTCTCTCAAAAATAGGCTTGAAACAAAAACAAAAAACTAAACTCTCATTTCATTTATTTTTACATCAAAATGTTTGACTTTTTAAATCATGACTATTCGTAAAAAAATAAATTGCCAAAAAATCGACATATAATAACAAAAGTAAAACTTTAATTTAAATTTGTTGGGTGAATATATTGACATTGCATGATTGCAAATTAAAAGTGAATGGACCGAGTGATTACATATAACTGGTAGGAAATTTGGAATATGAACTGTATGAGTATATTAATTGTACAATTCATTTGTTTTGGATACAAAGGAAAAGAATTGTACGGAGTATAAGGGGTAGTTGGATCTACTTTTTAAAAATGTTTCAAGCCCTTCAGGGAGTCAAAATAGATATTGGAGTGCTTGGGTGCAAGTGCATAAATACTTCTGAATGTTTCAAGTTGTTATTATAAGTAGTTTTTTAGAAGTCAAGGGAGATCAGCTTTTGAAAAACTGATTCTCGTGTGCTTTTAAAAAAAAAGAAGAAGTAGAATCAATTCCAAACACCCCCTAAGTTATATACGAAGTACTATGAATATCAATGAATTTAGTAGTCTTAACTCCAACATTAGATTTCACGAAAATTACATTTGTACACACAATTTGTGCACTTTTTGGACACACCTCCTAATTGTCTGTATATACCGATAGTTCGTTTAAAAAACATTTGCAATTCTATATGTTTTAAACTTGTGTATAGAAATGTACTCTCCCTATCCCTTAATATTTTACAACTTTCCGTTTTTTCTTGTCTCACTAAATTTGCCATATTCATTTTCAAGTAAAGAATTTATGGTTTCTATTAATTATCCCTCATGCACAAAGCTCAATTACACAATTTTTACTTTATTTTACGATTCCTCCTGCAGATCAAATTTGATCAAGTATTAAGAGATGAAAGAAATATAAATTTTGGATAGAAGAAGAATTAACCTAAAAAAGATTAGCCCCCCATCTTGACTCTCGACGACTCCCCAAATAGAAATAGAGAATACAAGTTAAGTTTTGATCAAACCAGAGAAAAGAGAGTTTGTTCTTGTACACACTTTTATACTTACCTTATATTGAGTGTCTAGGAGGATTTTTTTTTGTTTGTGAATCCGATTTACAGACAAAATAATTTGCATAGACATATTTTGTCTATGACCGAGATTGACAGACAAAATAAAAAACTCTTCACAGAATGATGAGTACAAAAGTGAATATAAGAATGGATAACTCGATACAAACATATTTTTTAAGATAAAAATGAGTAAGATTTCACCCCAAATATACAATTTTATTGTTGGATAAAAAACTATAGTATTCTTAAGGAGTTTTGCTAAGTGTACACAAAATGTGTACACCTTTTATGTATATTTGTCTCTCCTTCGCGATAAATCGTCTGTCACACATAATCACAGACCATTTATAATGAGTTGTTGTGACATGTGACAGACAACTTATTTGGGAAGACAATGTATAACACGCTTTTTTTCATTCTTAAGAGATGCACGAAAGAAGAAATTCCACTTATGGTCCTTCGAGTTTTGCACCAATTCCACAATTAGTCATCGTCTTTCATTTTATCCATTTTTGGTATCTGACTATTGTTTTCTTGATCATATATAGTCTTTTTCCGATAGTAAATATGCTCAGAAATGGACCACAAATGATCAAGAAAACAATAGTAAAGTATCAAAAATGGATAAAGTGAAAGACGATGACTAAATGTGAAAATGACACAAAATTGGAAGGAGGTAAAGTGAATTAATTCTGTACGAAATGAACCTCTCAAATTAAGAGATGCTCATCACATCAAATCCAACTCGCCCTCCCTATTAACTTAGCTGTCCGTAGTCCGCCTGACGGACTTACAGCAGCTTTTCGCTATTGGCCATTCCTATCTCACATTCTGTTCTCAACACATTATCCATCTTCTCTCCTACCAAAGTTCTCCACGCCCAAATCCTCGTTCCCTTCATAGTGCTCGTACAGTTAGCTCACACGAAATGCCTGCTTGGTGGGGGAGAAAGTCCACCAAGAAGCCCGCCAAAGACCCACAACCCCATTTCCCCAATAGTCCAAGTAGCGTCAAGAATGAAGCAGTAGAGAGAAGGGATAGACCAAAGAGCTTTGGTGAGCTCTCCGGAATGGTGGAAGCGAGGAACTCACCCAGACCCAGCAGAGATTTCCCTATCGCAAGAGGCGCTTCGGGATTCTCTGGTTTCGATTCTCCTTCTCCCATTGATAGAGGCCATCCGCTGCCCAAACCGTCCGTGTCTCCTTCTACTACTGGCAATGATCACGTGGTAGGGTTTGGATCCGGTTCTGATTCGGGATCGAGTGTTAGCTCTCTGGGCTCCTGTGATGACCATAACCTTCTCAGCAGCGATCGCTCTCAATTCTCTTCTTTCAGGTCTGTTTTGGTTCCCTTGTCAATAAAGTTTCGATTTTTATTAAGCAGTACAAAAAAATGAGAGAGAGAGAGAGAGTGTGAGATAATTGTGTTCCTGTGATCTAATTTTGTTACTCACCTAGCTTAAGTGAGTTTCTGAATTTTATTCTTATTTCCCCTTATCTTTGGTTATCTGGGGAATTTATACAAAGTGTTGGTGGGAGAAACATTCATAATTCCTACTCCATATCATATAACAGAGGAACTGGAGATACCAAGCACAGTCCAGTCTCACAAAGTCCTGTCCGTTCAAGGGCTGCTACTACCAGCTCCTCGCCTCTACATTCTCGGTCTGGAGGTTCTAATTTAGAGGATGGGAAGAGTGAATGCCACAGATTGCCTCTTCCACCCGCATCTCCTAATCATCTTCATCCAGCTTCTCCAACGAGTCCGTCTACCTTGCCAAATCCAAGAACTCTCTGTATTGCTGAAGGCTCAACTGGTAATTTGTCAAAATGGAAGAAAGGCAGGCTTCTGGGAAGAGGCACATTTGGAACTGTGTATCTCGGATTCAACAGGTATATGACGCTTTCACCTCCTCCATACAGAACTTGGTTGGCCTCTCTTTAGGCCAATTGTAAAGCCTTCCTTGATGGCAGTAAGTTTAAGAATGCGTACCTTTGTTAATTAATATTTACAGTGAGAATGGGCAAATGTGTGCGATAAAAGAAGTCAAAGTTGTCGCAGATGATCGGACATCCAAAGAGTGTCTCAAGCAATTGAACCAGGTTTGACTTATTCCCTTTGATGAATTCTCTGATTTCTCTCATTATGCTTTTTTGAAATCCTCTGGTCCTTCAAACTTCTATAGCATTTCATTATTTTCAAATGCATTTTTGACAAATCTTAACTTTTTTCTTTCTTCTAGGAAATCGCATTGCTCAGTCAATTTTCACATCCAAACATTGTTCAGTATTATGGAAGTGAACTGGTATGTGGATAATAGTAGCACAAGAGTGGAGAATTGTACAGTCAAATTCATTGTGTATGATTGCCAATTTCCCATGCTCATCCTTTCACATAACATGTATTTGTAATTTGTCTCTAGGGTGAAGAAACACTCTCGGTTTACTTGGAGTATGTTTCTGGGGGTTCCATCCATAAATTGTTGCAAGACTATGGATCCTTTAAGGAGGCTGTTATTCAAAATTATGCTAGACAAATTTTATCTGGCCTGGCCTACTTGCATGCAAGAAACACTGTGCATAGGTAATTACTTGACATCAGCGTAACACTGACCAAATTACAGTTCTTCAAAAAAAGGCAAAATCATGGCTTTTCTGCAGGGATATTAAAGGAGCAAATATATTAGTAGATCCCAATGGTGAGATCAAGCTTGCAGATTTTGGCATGGCAAAACATGTAAGTATCAACTTACAGGTTTTGGCAGTAATGCAATTATACTGTATTTGGTGCAAGAGGCTGGTTAACTAATTTTAGCACCTCGGTTTCAACAGAAATGACTATGTAGGAAAATATAGCAGTTTCTTGGATTACTCTCAGTAAAAGTGTTTCCCTCTTCTTTTCATAACCCAATCACTTAAGACTTTGAAGGTTATATTGTTGTTGTGCTTATTCAAAAGCAACACACACACTACAAGCAATAAAAGAACAAGAAAAATATATAGATGCTTGAATTATACTTTTTGCATGTCTTTTTTTGAGTCATCTTTCACATAAGAGATGTATCACAGTAAAAACTGTTTTTATTGAAATAAATGTTTTGCCTTTGACATCCAGAAGTGCTCTAATAATTTTTTGTTAGGACTTAGGATTAAATAATTTGGGTAGGCAAGCTGTTTACGGTGGTGGTAATGTAAAGTAGGACATTTACTCTTTACCAAATAAGGAGAGAGAACTTTATTTAGGGACGAAAGGAGAAGTTGATTGTGTTAAATTATTAATCATCACTCATTATTACATGATTGTGTTAGTCAGCTGCAAGTGCAAAGCATCTAATGGAATAAATGCACTAAAAGAATTTTTAAAAGGCACCACATTGTATAAAGTATAATAAATGAACTTTTATTATCAAAACATGAAGCATCAGACACTAAAAAGAACATAGTCAACATACACATAGAAGACACAAGGAATATGTGAAGATTGGTTTGGTCATTTGGAGCAACTGCGCAAGTCAAAAGATCATATGCGGTGGGCTGTGGATGAGTGGATGGATTGTTTAATGTCATAAAGAAAATATGAAGGAGCAGTGTTGTTATTTACCTTTTTGGCTTTTCCTTTCAAAAAGCTCTGGTCATTAGATTTAAAAAATAGTCAAACAGCAGCTACTTCCAAAAGGTTTCTAGCAATGAAACATACGTTTTTTGACTTTCTATCACTTTGCTGACAATGTCTTATTTTGACTTAAATTACAACCAGATCACGTCATATTCTTCAATGCTATCTTTCAAAGGAAGCCCATATTGGATGGCACCTGAAGTATATTTCTCTCTCTACTCTCATTACATATGTTATTTATTTTTACTGATTTCCCTAAAGATAATTACTTTCTTATAGTTCACTAATCAACAGGAACCAGTTTTAGAGAAATACATGATTTGAATTGAGACAGTTATTTCTAGTATAACACTTATAAACATATTTTCAGGTGGTGATGAACACAAATGGCTACAGCCTCGCGGTAGATATATGGAGCTTGGGCTGTACGGTTCTTGAAATGGCAACATCAAAGCCACCTTGGAGTCAATATGAAGGGGTAAAGTGAAAATGTTAAGAACATTTCAGACTAATAAACATATCTTTTTGTGACACTCCTTTGACTTTCCTCAATACAGGTTGCGGCAATATTTAAGATTGGAAATAGCAAAGACATGCCTGACATTCCCGATCAGCTGTCCAATGAAGCAAAAAATTTTATTAGGCTCTGCTTGCAACGAGAGCCTTCTTTGCGGCCCACTGCATCTCAACTTCTGGAACATCCTTTCATTAAAGACCAACACCCAACAAAAGTTTCCATTGCTAATAATACAATCAATGAACGTACTTTTGATGGAAGTTACATACCGGTATTTATCTCTGCTTTTAATTTTACCAAGAGTCCGAATACGTTTGCTTCTTAGTATAAGCTAAAGTGCTAAACCATCGTTAGCAATAACAATACTTTAACTGAATTGTTTTATGCTCCATCTCATAATATTCTTTCAACCTCCTTTTTTGGGATGTCGCATAAATTTCATCCCATTTTTTCAAGACAAGAGTTGAGTGGTTGGTGTTTTTTTTATCATCTCTTTTTACAGTGGCCACAATCATACAATTCTACTTTCTTAATAAGTGTTCCAAGTCAAACTGTGATCTTTTTTGGGATAGAGGGAGAAAATGATATAGAGACAGTAGATTCGTTTGAAAATTCCATATCCCTCATTATAAACACTTCGAGCAATACAAACTTTTAGGGAATGCTGGTATCCCATAAAATGCTAGGGATGGGAAGCAAAAATGCTAGAGATCTATAAAGACTTTGTGTTACTTTGCTATAAAAAAGATGCCAGGGAATGCTGTTACTTTGTGTTACTTTGCTATAACTTTTAGGGAATGCTGATATCCCAAAAATGCTAGGGATGAGAAACAAAAATGCTAGGGATATTAACACAAAGTAACACTTTGCTACAAACCTGTAGGGAGTGCTCGTATATATCCCATAAAATGCTAGGGATGCAAAACAAAAATGCAAAGGGATGTCCCTTTCTCACCATGTAAAATGAAATATGATTAATGGTTTAAAACTTTACATTTTCTTTTTATTTCTTGGTCTTTATTATGTAATAGAAATAGATAAATAAAATGAATTAGAAATATTTGAACAAAAATAGAAAATAAATTTATTGAGTTTGAACAAATGATTTTATTGAGTTTCCCTTACATTTGCCCCTTGTGTATTTCTCTTATGTTTTTTACTTTTTCCATTATTATCTTTCCCTAACATTTTTCAAGTTCTAACCAAGGGAAAGAATCAAACTAAGTAGGTAACCTTCATGTATTTATTTGAAATATGTTAATTTATTAAGGGAAAATAACTTCAAATAATGCCATAAATTATTTGTTATAAACCAATAATAACATGTACTTAAGTAATGCTACCTCCGTTCCTAAAAATCCTTCCCGGTTTGACTTCGCACGCTTATTAAGAAAGTGGAATAAAGTGGAAATGTATGGTTGTGGTTGTGTAAAAAAAGGTAAAATGAATGTGAGCCACACAAATTGTCCAAAAAGAGAAAGTGGGAAGTGTTTTTGGGAACTAATTGAATATATACCAAAAAATAATATGGAGCCACTTTTTTACTCCCTATCAAAATTTCAAGAAATTATCGCTTCAAAAAATAATATCAACAATCAAATAAAAGGTATCTCAAAACGGAATCACTTATTTGACATTATGATAAAATTTTGATGAGTAAATTGTCAAATTTCTACTGCAAAAATGGTTATGTATCGCTTTATTTTATTCAAATAGATGATATTACTAAAAGTTATTTCTAAAGTGTGTAATGTTATTGGTTTATAGATGTTGGTATTAGTTAAGGTTATTTTCCCATTTATTAGTGAGCATAAAAATCATTTTCCTTATCATTTTCTTCCCCATGTACCATTTTCCGGGATGCAAACAGTCGTATAATATTTTAATTTATCCCATTATATGGGGTCTGATTTGCATTTGCTTTTCACAGCCGGCTCCAGAATTGCGACATAGCCCAAGAAATACTGTTTCTCTTGGTGGAGGTGACAATTCATTCAAACCCATGTCAACTGTCTCTAGAGCCACACCGAACAGTTTAAGGTAATACAAATTCTTGTAGGCAGAGTAACATAATTTTGTAATACTATATCAGATCCATTTAAGTGCATATTCTCTGAACCTTTCGTTGTCTTCCCCAACAGAAGAGAGAATGCAAAAATGGTGACATCACTGCCAGTGTCACCATGTTCAAGCCCATTAAGAAAGCGCACTGGGCCCGCTGCACACGGAATAAGTTATCTCTCTCCACCACATCGATCCTCCCATCACGTTTTTGGTGGCGAATCTGGCAACCACCATAGTGACTACCTAACCTTTAAAGCAACAGCCAACACAAGGAACAACATGCTGGATCCTTGGCTTGAGATTCCTCCATGTAGAACTCAAACACCAGGTAGATCTCCAAGAACATCACCCATTCTCTAGTGCATCATTATTTAGAACCCCTACAGTGGGAAGTTTGTTATAGAGTTGATAGTTTAGGATGGGGTGATCAGGCTCTGTGGTTGCATATTAGCTGCAACCTTTTGCAATGTGTAAATTATCTTTTTTTTTTCTTTTCCCTGTCTAGTAGGCATGAAATGTAAATGAAACTCATAACATAGACTCCAAAGGGTCCTTACATTTCCTTGAATTTTTTTAGATGTAGTTCTTCTCAACATGGGCAAACAACTCAAAAGCACCGTCTTTACCCCCCCCCCCCCCCCCCTCCACCCACGTACATGAGTGCAGTAGTTGTAAATCTCTGGTCAGAAGCATATATGTACAGCTCGGACATCTGCAAGTAGATCACATCAGTATACTGTTGCTTGTTATTTGCGGGTCACTTCTTATTCAAGATCAGCTTAGGAGGAGGGTCTCATTTAGACGTGACCCATACGCTAGGTAAAACTGTAAAAGTGCCTTGTAGGCATGTAGCTTGATGTTTAATACTTGGTCCAAAAGGTTGAATGCCCAACCCCAAGGCCCCCACCCTAACCCGACAGGATGGTGTGGAAGTTAATCACGGCGACTCAGTCAGCAAAGTGGCGGTAGGCCTTATACACGTGCGCACCAGAGGTCCAGTCTTATTTCAGATTCTGTAACCTCCACACGGCCGCTGCGGGTTTCGAACCTTGGTCACTTGGTCCAATTTTTCCACCACTCGACCAACTGAGCTACCCGTGCGGGTAACTTGATATTTAATACTTTAATGGCTTTACTGTGTTGATTGTTGCGTTCAAATGTGTACTCTTTGTAGTTTGTACCTTTCAACTCAAATGCAAAGTTACAGTGTTACACCGAATGGTTTTGCCTTGGGGTAAATTACTCGGACCAGAAGCGGAGAAGTTAGGAGTTAGGATTGGATAAGGACATGTATTTAGGGATGGACTCGGTTCGGTTCGGGCCTTGAACCGGCTGGGCCTCTGTTCAAGACTTTAAGGTATGGGAGGTCCGGGCCGGGCCGGGTAACCCCTGGGTCTGGGCCGGGCCTCAGTTATATATATTTTGTTTTTTTTTGGGCTTTTCCTAGTTAACCCCCAACCCTCCCCCTCACCCCCAAACCAACCCTAACCACCTCAAATGGCCCAAAATACCCCGCCCAACCCAAAAACTTAAAAAAAATTCAAAAAAAAAAAAAAAAATAGCCCGGCCCGGGCCCGAACCGGCCGGGCCGGTTCACCTTTTGAAGGGTCCGAGCTCGAACCGAGATCCCACCGGTTGGGGTTGATGATTTGCTAGCGATCAATGTCGGTTCATCAATGAGGCCATGAGGGTAGGTCACTACAGGGGAGTCACTATGACACAGAGAAGGCCAGAAGCACATAAAGTCACTGGACAAAGGGTCGACAGAGTCATTGAACAACCTTTGAAAATTGTACCATTGGAGAAATCAGGAACATGAAGTCCTTTGAAGATGTACAGTGAGCAAGTCACTGGCGACAATGTCATCGTGGCGTCATCAACAGTGATGGTGGCTGAGTCATAAGGGTGGTTGGAACACATTAATTGATTATTATTTATAAAAATGGAGTATTAGAATAGTAAATGGACTATTAGAATATTAAAATGTAATACCCCGTATTAAATAATGGCTTAATATTCATTTTGGAAAAGTTAAAAACCAGTCACTTTTTTGTCATTTATATCTATTTTGGTAATATTCATAACAAAAAGGTCTATATATATATAACCGGGTCATTCAGATGTTCTATATTAGTTTTTTGTACTATCAGTCCATTTATGTAACCGGGTCTGTCAGACCCATATTAGAGGCCCAGACCCGGAATTTCCATATATATACCCTTTATGTAAAGCTTGTAAACACACAACTCAAATATACAACCAATATTAATTCATTCATTCTATACACTTCTTCTCCTTCTCCATTCTTGAGCTAAATTTCTACTAGTTTATACACTATGGGTATCAATTATCCAACATACATATTATTGGTATGAATTTCACCTAAATCATGACTTTCAAATATATGACTATATTACCCACATTTTTGTCAATATTTAAAAGAGGAATGAACTAAAATGGGACTAAAACATGACTAAAATTCCAAACTAGGACTTTAAGTTTTAAATTGCTTAAATAAGACTCCAGATTACATTTTTACCCCTGATCCCAAAATAACCTTTCCCCAATCCCTTTGCCATCGATCTTACACCTGCGATTCAGCCCTCCCTTTCCGGCGCAGCTGCCATGTAGCAGCTTGACCGATTTCGATCGCAACTCAACCGTCATCATCGCAACCACCTACTCAACCCCGACCGCCACCTCTTCTCTCCGGCAAAATCAGGTATTCTTCATCTTCTCCTCCTGCTTCCTCTTCCTCTTCTTTTCTTCTTTTTCTTTTTCTTCTTCTTCCCCTCCTCTGTTTTCTTCTTCTCGCAGTTCTCCTTGCACTCCTCCGTTTTCGATTAAAACTTCTTCTACTTGTTTTGAATTTCAGATGATTTTAGACATTTTATTTCGAAAATGCCATCATTTAAAAATAATGACAATTTCATGACATTGCATTTGTTATGATGACAGTTTTGACCTGTTTGTCACTTTACTCGAAAATGACATGTTAACATCAAAGGCAAAAATATGACATTTTTAGATGCAAAAACATGTCAGTTTTGAGATTACAACATGACATTTTTAGATGTAAAAACATGTCATTTTTTAGATTACAACATGATATTTTTAGATGCAAAAATGTCATCATTTGTCAAAAATGTCAAAATCATGGAAATTTCAAACATATAGTACTGTCATCTCCAAAAATTGCCAATGTGTCTCCAAAAATTGCCAATCATGTGGCTTTTTTTAAAAAGTTGATAGATGAACATAACAAAAAAATTAGACCGAAATAATTTTGAATAATTGATAGAACCGTGAATTTCAAATCCAAATTTTTTAAATAAAAAATATGACTGAAGAAGAAAGGAGCAGAGAACAGAAGAGAAGGAAAAGGAGAAGAGGAAGAAGGAGAAGGAGGAAAAGAAGAAGAAATACTTACCTGGAGATATGTCGACCTGAGCAGTGGAGAGGGAAGCAAAGATGGCCTGCGGACATGAGAGGCTATTATGCGTCGCTGGTGTCATGTTTTTTAATTGGGGGCAGTTTAGTCAGATCAGCTTTTTTTAGTCCCATTTTTGACCAATAAAACATAGTAGTCCTATGTTTGCAATTTCACTTTCATTTAGTCCTATTTAGACGATTCTCTCTATTTAAAACTGCTCACAATTTCGGAAATTGACTCTAATTTAGTAATGTTCAAGTAAAAACCGCAAACAAATATATTCCACAGCACCGGTAGTGGTAAGGCGAAACAAACACAAACTATTAAGCTAGAAGACTGCAAACCGTGGAGAAGTATTTGGTATCAACATTGGATTAGCTTTCAACAGCTCAGATAATGCCTCGACAAATTGTGGATATTCTGGAAAACACTCACTCACTTGCGCCTCAAATTAATACACAGTTACACACGTGTGCTAAACTAGTATGTTCAAATTGTGGATATTCTGGAAAACACTCACTCACCTTCTAACAAATATCATGTATGTTCAAAATATGCTAAAATAGTACGTAGTATATTGATTCTGAAACTGTCATATTCTCTTTCAAAACGACTAAAGGGAAATCGTTGGGCTGGGAACCTAATTATTTTCTTCTGACATCTTTTTACGCATAAATAGTTGTAATTTGAAGTTTCCATAGTGACAAGTCTGTGTGTCTTAAAGCTAGCTATGTTGTAAAAACCAAACCGGAGAGCGACCCATAGCGATGGCCGGATCAAGGGTCAACCCGGACCCGGCGGGTCAGCCCGGTCAACGACCGGAAAACCCGGTCAACATATATATAATATTTAATATATATATATATATATATATATATTAAATAATGAACATAAATTAATAATGATGATACAATATAATCCAATTACGAAATCATTATTATAGAGTTGGTTTTCACAAAAATTAAAATAGATTTAAATGTAGGTGGATAAAATATATAGATATGGCATCAATTACAAAATCTTAAATATATGATAGAAATATATTTTCACATATAATAGAAATATGAAATATAAGTATACATAATGGGAAGTGTGTGTGTGTGTAATATAAGCATGAGTGTATATGCATTACTGTTATTATTATTATTAGCAGGGACGGATCCAGAATACCGAGTCAAGGGGGGCAAATTTTTTCTGTTCGTATAGGGGGCGAAAAAAATTCGCTAGTGTATCGTGGCAATTTTTTCCGCTTGTGTAGCGGGGTGATTTTTTTTTGCTAGCATAGAGCTTTGCGCCTAATTTTCATTCAAAAAATCCATCGGTACATACACGATGATATTTAAATCTATTACATTCTAAGTTTTTTTTTGAAAGAATATTACATTCTATGTTTAAACGATGGAAAAATAATTTTAATTTTTTAATTGTAAATGCTCTAAAAAAAGTATTGATACATTAAAGTATAAGAAATGACAAATCAAATGAAAATTATTTGAAGATAAAGAGTTTAAAAGGTACACATCAACCAAGATTTTTAAATAACTTCTGCCTTGTTTATCCATATGGATCTTATTAGAATAAAGAATTGGTTTTGAATTGCAATTTTTGTTTACTAAGGATGGTGTTCGTGGGTCACGAGAAGTTTTCTTAATATTACAATAGTATGTGTGATATTATTATTCTAGAATAATATTATACATAGTATTGTTAATTCACATATATGGTGCATATTGTATTTGTATTAATGCTACAGTAAGTTCAAGTTTATCATCTATATATTCAACAAATTGTTTTTAGAAATTAATAAGTAAATGAATTGTGCAATTTAATGTCAATAAACATTTATATTTTAGATTCACTTCACATGATCTAAAAATTATTTAACTAGTGTGTATGCTATTTAATATTGTTCGATATTTTACAAAATTGAGTACTAATTATCTAATAAAGACAATTAAATATTACAAAGCTAGAAATTTTTATATAATTGAGAAAATAATTTAAATACCCCAAATTTTAAAAGGGTGAGTTAAGTACCCCAAACCTACATGTGTAATATATATACCCCGAACTTTACATAAAAAGTTATGTTATCACCATTACTATGTAGTTTTTATTCAAAAATGTAAACTTATGGTGTTAAGCACATGTTTTAAAATAGTTAAACATTTATAGAGATG